GGATTCAAAGAACGACTAGAAATGTTCAATATACCTTCAAGTCTCCAAGAAAGAAGATGCCAAGGAATGCAGTAACTGTAAAACCATTGCTCTAATTTCCCATGCAAGCAAAGTAAGGTATTGCAACAAAGTTATATGGAGCAAGAAATGCTTGATGTCCAAACTGAATTCCGAAAAGGAAGAGACACTCAAGGTCATACTGCATAGATCCATTGGCTACTGGAGCATGCCAAAGAATTTCAGAAGAAAATCAGTCTGTGCTTTATAGACTACTGTGACCACCTCTACCTGGTGAATCACCTTTAAATTGCCCTTACTTTTAATAGGCTTGCCTTAAGCCCAACATATAGGAGCTAAAGTGGTTTTAAACTTGAAGACATAAAAATGTTGTTTTTATTAAAGAATAGCAACAGACTAAACTAAATAGGGTTTAAAGTTAGGGTTACAATGAATTGCATGCTAGTTCTCAAACATCTCAGATACAAAGAAATTCTCTCAAGTTATAGCCCACTCTTAAACATGACCTCCCCCCTTGAACATACAGTTTTATTCTCCACATTCCCACTCTATTTATATCTTCCTGGCTCTTCTTGGTTGGCTTTCTTCCTGTATTCTTTCAGCCAATCAGCTTGTTTCTTTTGTTACTGTATAAACATGGTGAGGGTTCCATCATAATTACTATAGCAAAACCCTTGACAAAGTGTGGATCATGAGAAACCATGGGTGGTTCTGAAAGAAATGGGTGTGTCTCACCAATTGATTGTCCTGATGCATAACTTATATTTTGGACAAGAAGCTACTGTTAGGACAGAATATGGAGAGACAGAATAGTTTTCTGTAGCAAATTGTCAGACACGGGTTAATTTTATTCCATTACCTGTTGAATCTGCACGCAGAACATATCAACTTATTATGTGAAAAACCAGACTAGATTCAGATGAAGGCTGAGTGAAAATTGGTGGAAGAAACAACAATAATTAAAGATACGCAGATGACACCATCTTACTGGCAGAAAGCAACAATGACTTGAAGCTGCTTTTAGTGAATGTCAAAGAGGAAAGTGTAGTTGAACATTAAGACAAAAATAATGAAAAATCAGAACTACACAACTTTGATGTTGACAATGAAGACAATGAAATAGTTAAAGATTACCAGAGACCAAAAAGCCTTTTGATCATGTGATAGGATTGCTTGATGAAGTTGGGACCATTTTTGCTGGGCAAACCAATGTCTTTTCTCATCAAACAGGGCACGGCCTGCCTTACACAAATGAAAATACAATTTTAAAAGTGATGGAGTGGGTTGTTGACGAATTAGTTGGAATAGTGTCCTGATTTGTTTTTTTAGGGACCAACAATCTGAGTCAAACCAAGAGCTATGGTTGTCCCTAGAGGGACAGGAAATGCATAGGAATTGAACCAATGAATCAATTAAAATATTATATGCGGAGATAGCTGTGAGGGAAGAAGAAGCTGAATTTAAATTATCAGTAAGAGACTTGAAATGAAAAACCTAGATGGATGACGAAAGAAACACTAAAATTGTAAAAAACAAAACAGCAACAGTCAAGAATTAAAAATAAAAGGTGACAGAATTAGGCTCGGAACCCTAAGTGCAGATTTTCGGTGACTGTTGGGCAGCAGCAGCGCCAACTCCCGCTCCAGCACCGGCTCCTGAAGCCAGGCAAGCACTGCTACCACCCAACGGGCTCCTTCAGAATAGCAGCAGCTGCTCTCCACCCTCGTTAACCCCATTGAGGTTAGTACGGCGAGCCCCCGGAAGCCCCCGCCGCCCACATCCCAGGGAGCGTTCAAGGGCCCCGGCGTTTCCCCAGGCCGGCCTTCCCTCTCATTTCTGGAGAGCTGGCCCTGCACGGAGCCTTCGCCTCTCCACGTGGAGGAATCAGGTCTGGTCCCCTTGTCGCCCTGGGTTGCGGCAGCGTCTTGGTGCTGGGAGACTGAGGCTGGCTGAGGCACTCTGGCCTTGCCTTCTGCCATGGCCAGCCCCGCTGCAGCCAGATCAGAGGAGGCTTGGGACTGCCTGGTAAGGTAAGGTGCTGCTTTTTGCTTTTTAAAAGCTATTCTGGGTGGCTTTTGCAGGGTGGGCCTGGGCTGGGGGGGTTATGTTTCTGTGCTGTGTTGTTTTGTTTTTGGTGATTTTTTTTTGCAGTCCCAGCATGATGCTTGCTCCAGTGCCTATTTTTGAGTTTTGTTTTGTTTTTTTGCTGTCCCGCGCCTTTGGGGCTTGCTCTGTTTATTTTTGGTTGTTGTTGTTTTAAAGCCCCAGCACCTTCTGATGGGTTTTTCTGTGTGGTTTATTTTATTTTTGCTATTTTTAAAAAATGCTGGAACGGATTAATAGCGTTCCAGTGCATTTCAATGGGAAATGGTGCTTCGACTTATGACCATTTTGAGTTATGTCCATCTTCTGGAACGGATTATGGTCATAAGTCGACGGATTATGGTCATAAGTCCAGGCACCACTGTGCCCTGGACTGCCGGAAAGACAAACAAGTGGATCCTAGATTAAATCAAGTCTGAACTATCTCTCGAGGCAAAAATGATGAGACTATCCTACTTAGGACACATAATGAAAAGACAGGATTCTCCAGAAAACACAATAATGCTGGGAAAGGTGGAAGGCAGCAAGAAGACCAAATATGAAAGTCAAAGAGTCCATTATAGATCTTCGTGGTGCAGTGATTAAATTGCAGTACTGCAGTCATAACCCAGATTCAATGCCAGGTAGCCAATTGACTCAAGGTTCACTCAGCCTTCTATTCTTCTGAGATTGGTAAATTGAGTACCTGGTTTGCTTTAAGCACTGTGGGGTGGTATATAAGCAGCATGCTTTGTGTGTTTTTTACTTGAAAGTAAGCTACGGGTGAGTCTGCAGGAGCTGAGCAGTGCTGCTGAGGACAGGACAGTATGGAGATTGCCCATTCATAGAGTCACTGTGAGTCAGGAGCAGCTGGACAGCACAAACCCACGGTGCAAAAACCCTGTGCTCACTCAGAGCAGGCATTTTAAAAAGCAGAAAGCAGTACCAGGCTAGCTAGTACCAGTACACGGTTAGCAGTTCAAATTCCTCGCCTTTTTCACGGTTGTAACTCAAAGCTCCAGTCGCAAGTCAAAGCAAAATTTTGCGGCCAGAGCTGGTCATAACTCGAAATAGTCTCAAGTCATTACGTCTTTTTCACGGTTGTAACTCAAAGCTCCAGTCGCAAGTCAAAGCAAAATTTTGCGGCCAGAGCTGGTCGTAACTCGAAATAGTCGCAAGTCAAGACATTCTTAAGTTGAGGCACCACTGTACTCTTGTTTTTTCTACACTAAGCACCCTGAAACAGTGTAACCTTTCCTCCTGTGGGGCAAAAAGAACAGAAATAATCAAGATTGCCTTTTAAAGGCTTTTCTGTTTTTCTCTTACCCTTCTCTTGTTATTCCTAAAAGCCCCAAAATCTTGCTTTTTAATAATATTTTATTAATCCAATAAAGATATTGTACATAATTGGTTTTAGCTTCAGCTTATGGATCACACAGCTGTGTTGTCTTTTTGTCCTGAGAAAAGTAGAAACCAGTAGCTGCTGTTGGTTTCTACTGCCTATTGAATTTTATAATCTTGAATTAGAAAGTATCCTAAGCCATTATGACTGCAGACAGTTCAAGTGATGTAAGAGTCACCGGTTGTTATTCATAAAAGAGGTATCTCTAGAAGAGTGTTATGAAGTAATTGGTTGACATTTCTGTACATCAAGGGTACCAAACAACAACAGAGGCCACCTTCAGTACCATCTGCTGTTCAGAATCACAGATTGCACTTATTTACCCACTAAACTAAGAAAATGAGATTGTGTGTGTTCAGCCACCAGTATTTAGGAGAAATAGTATCTGTGTAAGAGAGAACCTGAGAAGCTGATATGAAGCTGCAGAAATGAGGCTTTCACAGCGTTGTTGCTGGTCACGTCCCAAGAATGACTTTTGTTTTCATTCATGCATAGGCCAGTTTTTCTGTGTCTATTGTGTATGGGTAGAACGCTATATGGATATTTTGCCAAACTGATCTTTATGTCATAGCTCAAGGGTTAGAAAAAATTGGTAGGAGGAATCATGACTATTTAATGTTGTAAAGTAAAAGGTGAAGGTTCCCCTGACAATTTGTCCAATCGTGTTCGACTCTAGAGGGTGGTGCTCATCTCCGTTTCCAACCCATAGAGCTAGCGTTTGTCTGAAGACAATCATCCGCTGTTACCTTCCCACCACGGTCGTACCTATTTATCTACTTGTATTTTGCATGCTTTTGAACTGCTAGGTTGATAGGAGCTGGAACAAGCGACAGGGGCTCACTCCATCACGTGGATTCGTTCTTACGAATGCAGGTCTTCTGACCTTGCAACACAGAGGCTTCTGTGGTTTAGTGTTATAAAGCTACATACTGCACTATTTTCTTTAAAATTATATCCAATGCCCTGTCTCTACTTGAATCGAGTAGGTAGCATGCTAGTAGCCTTGTTAGGAAGTGGATTGCCATTTGGGTTGAATAAGATTTGTAGTTTGTCAACCATGAAGGAAAGAACTCCATGCATTTAGGGAAGTATAATTTCAGAAAGCTGAGGTAATTTAGATATTGAAATCTCCTGAATGTTTCAATAACTGCACACACTGGAATTGAGAAGTGTGTGCACTGAAACATTTCCAGAGGATCATAGAGATTTAATGTTTCTCAGGTCTGTACTTAACAAGTGTAAAATGCAGTATTGGGAAGGAAGAAATGGGCAGTCTATGACAATAAAAGAAGGATTAAATTTCAGCCCCTAAATTCTACTTGGGCCGGGGTGACTGTTGTTCTGAAGTGCAGGATTGCTCACTCTTAGGAGCAAAGGAGATATGGGAGAATCTAAGTGATAGAATACATGTTTTGCACACAGAAAATCCCAGGTTCATTCCCTGGCATTTTTTTGGAAGGGTTGGGTGGAAAAAATCCTGCTTCAAAGCTTGGAGAATTGCTGCTAGCCAGTTGGCAATACTGGACTAGATAGGATCTGATTCATTGTATGGCAGCTGCTTATGGCCTGAAAAGAGAAAAATAGATAGTAACAAGCACACTTTCTGAAAGCGCGCACGTGTGTGTGTATCTAATGTATAGCAGATGTGAGCGATACCATGGATAAGTGAAAATACAAACATGATTTTGTGCCCTATCTTTGATAGTACTGTACATATGTTATACTTCTTAATATGCTTGTACAGTATTTTCTTCACTGTGTTGATTATTATTGTTATACATTCTAATGCTTATTGTGATACTTTTGAACAAACAATTTACTCTTTTTCTAAAGGTAAGAGTTGTAACTTGAAAAATAAAGTTTCTAAAGCACAGAATAAGTGAAGTACGGTAACATTTTCATCTTACCTAATCATCTTACCTCCATTGAGATATTTGAGGCCAACTGAGAATATGTCAGTGCTCCTAGAGTTTAAATAGGCAATACTGTAATTGTTTTACAGTCTTATTTCTGTTGCTGTGTCAAATACAGTTTTTAAAAACTGTTGTTTTTGTGTTTTTAGTTGACATTTCAGTTGAATTTATTTTTGTTTATTTTTTTATGATCATTTTCAAAAGTTTGTCAGACAGCATACAGCTCTGTCTAAGTGAAATGGTTTGAACAAGTATGGGGCCTCCTTGATCAGGACTGACCTCCAGTCCTTAACCAGGCAGTTGTCCTGAAGGTGGTAATCTGTGCCAACGCTTCTCTGTTCCTGCTTAGGTGTTGGGAGGGCTGGGTCTGGCATTGCAGAATTACCTGCACCTATTGATGTTCCAAAGTCTCTTTCACTGCTAGGTGGAGTCTCCTGGCCTCTGCAAGATTTCTTCCGTGGAACAAATGGATGTGGAAGCAGAGGAGGAAGATGACGATGACTTGGCTCTGCTTGGAGGTTATGATAGTTGTCGGCAGTACAGTAGCAGTGAAGACAGTGGCAGCACCTCCTGCCTGGAAGATTCTAGTGATAATGAGGGGGGAGATCGAGAAGCTGGAGAAATACCAGCATCCCCATCAAAGATCCAGACACCTACAGCCCGAGTGCCAGATTATCATGGATTTGAACCAGGTACCGAGTACTTCATGAAGTGTGAAAGAAAGTCTATAGCCAATGCAGGATTAGAGTGTTTTTCTCTGCTTAGAATGAGTAGGATTTGGGTGGTGGGATGTATTGCATTTAGAGATTTTTATTTTTGTTTAAGGTCAGTTTTCCGAAACATAGGCTTATTCAGTTCAAAAGAGAATGAAAACACACTGAAAAAGCAGCTAGGTGAGGAAATCATAAAAGTGGAAGAATGCAAACTTTAATTTCATGTCCACCACCATCTTGCAGCAATTCAGTGCTATGTTTTCAAAATGCACACACCTCTTAAAAAGAGCAGTTTTGTTGTTATTACATGCTAGCAAACTGCTTTTGACTTAGTGGCATCCTGTGAATTAATGAGCAATGAAGGATCCTATTCTTAACAGCCCTCCTTAATTTTTGCAAACTAGTCTGTGATCAGTCCATCCCACATTAGATTTTTTTCTTTTGCTACTGCCTTCTATTAATTGTCTTTCCTGGTAAATCCTACCTTCTCATGATATGTCCAAAACACAATTGCATCAGTTTATTTATTTTAGCTTCTTATTTTGGTATATGTATATGTTTTCTTTATACTGTCTGGAAGCCACCTAGAGTGGTCGCAATGACCAAATAGGCGGGTATAAATAAAATAAAATAAATAAATAGTGGGAATTAAAGGAAATAAAATAAATAAATAAATAAATAGTGGGAGTTGAGGCTTCATTTGATCTAGAACTCAATTATTATTTTTTCTGGTAGTCTATGGCATCCCTGAGCAATTTAAGCTGTATAAATATTTGATATTTACCTCAAACATTTTAATGAATTTTCTTACCCATATTGTATTATGTATATTGTATAGAGTATATTGTATATTGTATATTGTAATGAATTTTCTTACCCATATTGTATTATACATTAAAATGTGGTTGGATGTTAAAGTTTTAATACTACAGTTTGAAACAGATGCAGTTCCAAATGATATAAAGCCTTACTCTCCAACACGACCTCCAGGGTGTTATTTAAAAGTGCAGGTTGGTGATAGTAGGCTTGAACTGTTGAATTGTCCTGGAGTTCTTATTCCGCCTTTCTAAGAAAGGCGGAATAAAAATATTATAAATACTTTTAAAAAGTAAACTGTAGGCAGCATTTTTTCCTTGAGTTGTAGCTGTCCTTGATGTTCAGTGGTCATAGTGATGGTGGTTAAAGCTTCTACCTTTAGCACAGTTTAGGTGTCGTAAGCAAGCTGTGACTAGCAGGTCTCACTGATTTCAGTGGATATGCATTAAATAAGACTACATCTGGATGAAACAAGGTTCTGATTTTCAGTGAATGCAGCTCTTTCCAACCATTCACAGTTGGAACCATCTGCCCATAACCAGACTTGTTATGCCAGAGTTGTGTAAAGGAGCAAAACTGTATAGAAGTGCTTTTGGAGAGCCTCCTTGTGGGGTGTGTGCTTATGATGTTAAACTCTGTCCAGGCAATAGATTTACCCCTGCAGAAGCTGCTCTTCAGTTTCCAAGGAAGCTAGTGTCTTGTTAAGGATCAAGGTGAACTGAAGGTTCCTGCTTGAGTGCCAACCTCTGGGTTTGTTTTTTTCCTGTGTGTGTTTTTCTAGATGGAACTGGTTAGTTTCTCATTGCTAAGATTTATTTATTTGTGCTCCCACAGCTGTCTGTGAGATGTGTGGTATTGTGGGTACAAAAGATACCTTCTTCTCCAAAACAAAACGTTTCTGTAGTGTCTCCTGCTCCAGAAGTTATTCTTCAAATTCCAAGAAGGCCAGCATCCTGGCAAGGTTACAGGTGAGCAACAGCCTCTTAGTGAGGTCACAGTTAGGTTAATTGAAAATGAAGACAAAAATCCTTTTGCATTTTTACAGCAGTGTGAATGTTGGTGCTGAATTTCCATGAGTTAAGAAATCAGCATAGGCATTTACTGTTTCATGACAAGTCACGTGACTCAGCATGCAAAAACAAACGATACACTGGTTTCTTCTTCGTGGTCCCTGTCAGTGCACACAAATGGGTTTTAGTGCATCTGTGCAAAGACCCTCAGAAACTTCTAGAGCTTTAGAAAAGTCCATTAGGACCTTCCTCCCATCATACGTGTCCCGCCCATGGCACAGAATGCCTCAGTTCCTTTTTTGCTGTTGCTGCAGCAACACCTTGGCTATGGAGCTTAGCTTGTTTCTGTAAGAAAAGAAAAGAAAGATAGTTAGACCTCTTGACCTTCCTCTGTTTTGTGAGTTAAAAAGAGAGAGAGAAGGGGAAGAGAGAACAAGAGAAATAGGAGAGAGAGAGAAATGAACCTCTTTTCCTGCCTTTTTATGGCCTCTTCAGGCCCCTTCAAGAGGTGTGAGTCTTGCCTGAACAAAATAACTGTATCTGATGGGCATTCTCAGCACCTCTTCTGTTTGGGTGGGGCTCACCAAACTAACTCCTGCCAGGTCTGTAAGAATTTAACAAAACCTGCACTTAAACTTTGACTCCAGTGCCTCACATCTTTCCTTTGGGAGAAATCCTTACAGCCATAGTACCCGGTCATGGATTCTAGTCAGGCCCAAACTACAGACCCATCACCTACCTCCCCCCACTTCAAGATTGACCCAGCCTATAAAAAAGTCCAAACTAACATATAAAGTGAAGCCTTTGGGGTCAGTACTGAGGCCCACATCGACCCATTCCACTGTGTTGACACAGAAATCGATATTGGTACCGTCAGACAGACCTGGGAAGAAAAAGAAGTCGTTGGCTACCCATAAAGCTAAGCACTTTCAAGCTTCATTGCCTGGGATAAGCCAGGTCCACCTCCCCTACTATCTGTGGATGAAACCTGACAAGAGGTGGTATGTCTTAAATTATTGTTTGGGGACAAGGATGTCCTTCTTCCTCTGTCGATGCTGTGCCCTCCCCTGAGATTAGTCAATCTCCTGATTGGGGTAATACCTCAGCTGAGGTCACTGCGATGATGCAACCGGTGCAGGCAAGCCCTGGATCTCAAATGGGCTCTATTTCTGGCTGTATTTCAGGCTGTACATCGGTCTCTTTCTCAGACTCAACACAGGACCATCCTCCTTGAAAGAGGACCTGTAGGACCCATCATATTGACCGACCCACATGATGATACCAAAGGGCACCGCCCTCATGTTCCATACTCTACAACCGTACTTCAGGAGCCTGTGTATCACCATAGGTGCTTTTAAAAGCTTTGTCTTTATGACCGTCCCACATATTACAATCACGAGGTTCAGTTCAAGGCTTATTACAATTTCACCCCGTATGAGTCAGACCCTCAATATCTTGGACATGAACGTCGCTACCATTATGCCTATGCTTATCGCTCAAGCTCTTCTTCTATGTTGCCGTCACCTCCTTGATACCGGCCTCCGCCTAGATCCCGAGTGTTGGCTAAAGTTGTTCCATACCAACTTAATATTCCTACCCAAGACTCTTGATGTCACAGAAAACCACCCACTGTCTCCCTTGGAGGACTGCACATCTGATACTCAACTAATCCTCTGTATCGCTAAAGTCATGGACCTTGCTGTTGCCAGCCAGCACCAGAGGAGTCCGACAAGGTCTGTGAGGACATTACTCAAGACCAGACCCCACCACTTCGCCTGGCCTTCATTTTCTCTCTGCTCAGACTTGTTAAGGAATCTTGGAAGAAACCATCCTCTGTTGCCCAGATTCCCAGGAAAACTGAGAACCTTTACAAGATCCATGGTACCAATATGGCCTTTCATTCTAAGTATCCTCTCCCTAACTTGTTTATTGTTGACACAACTCAAAATAGAAATTGCTCTGCCTCCACCCCGAACAATCATGAAGGTAGAAAATTGGATGTTATACGCTGTCGAGTTTATTCCCCCACCACCTCCATTCTGAGGGTAGCCAAGTATATGACTGCGATGGGAGCCTACCATCTCCATCTTTGGAATAAGGCACTACCCATTTTCCAGGCTACTTCAGAAGAGCTATGCTCTTGAGGCTCTCACTCCATCAAGTGGCCATGACCCTTGATCGGGATGAGAGGATCGCAGCACTCCATGTCATAGATGACACTTCTAAACAAATGGCCACAGCCATAACACTATGCCTCTATGCATGGCTCAGATCGGCTGGAATATCAGATGATGCAAGATCCAGAATTGAAGATCTACCTTCTGATGGCCTCAGTCTTTTTGATGGAAAAACCGATGATATTATAGATAACCTTCAAAAACTTAGGAAAACTGGAAAGTCATACAATTCTCATCAATACTGCCCTTGCGTCACCCCTATACTTACCAACAGTATAGACCTCAACTGGATCGCCAGTGATTACAACCTTCTAATCCGTCCACATTCTCCTTTTGTCAGCAAACCACAAGACAGTGACCACGCCAGTCTGCCCACCAGCCTGAAAGGAAAGTGAAACATACTCTCTGACTCCCCACTCATCTGACTCCATACTCCACCACCAGAAACATACTGGACCTTACACACCTGGCACCCTTTCTCCATACCTGGGCACACATCATTTCAGACAGATGGCTCCTCACCATCATCGCTATGAGCTATGCAAGAGAATTGAATTCTTTCCCTCCAACTGGTCTCTTCAAGAACACAACCTCTTCTCCCGCCTTAGAGGAGGAGGTATGCTTCTTCCTGCAAAAGAATCCATCATGCAGACATTGGGATTCTACTCCCGATACTTTGACCCATTTTACATCTTTGCCACCTCAACTATTACATCATCCCACAGCGTTTTCGTGTGGTCACCTTGGACAGTATCATCCAACTACTCCCACAGGGTGATTGGTTCAGAGTCATAAATTTAAAGGACACCAACTTTCACATAAACTTAAGTCCGGATCACCACAGATTCCTCAGGTTCACTTTCCAAGGTATGACATACAAGTTCAAAGCTCTCCCATTCAGCTTGTCAACCACATCACGGGTCTTTACAAAATGTATAGCCCCAATTGCAGCATATTTGTGCCTCCAAGGCATCACTGTCTTCCCATATTTGGATGACTGGCTCCTAGTATCCCCATCTCGTGCCAAAGTGCTCCACAAGATCAATCTGACTCTGTCCCTTCTAACAGATCTGGGAATATAAATGAACCTCTCCAAATCGGTCTTCGAACCACCTGAATGGGTCACATACATAGGGGCAATATTCGACTCCATGCAAGACCAAGCTTTTCTACCAGAGGAGAGACAAACATCTCTACACTCTTTCCTTCGGTTTTTCTCACCCAGTGCAGCCATTACAGCCCATCTCATTGAGCATCTCTTAGGCTTCATGGTCTCCAATATGCTCGCCTCAAGCTGCATTGAGCATCTCTTAGGCTTCATGGTCTCCACTACTGCAGTCATCCAATATGCTCGCCTCAAGCTGCGTCATTCCAGGCATGGTATCTTACCTTTTTTTGACCCCAATGCTAGATCATTCCCGCAAAATCCCTCATGGTTACAAAAGAACTGGCATCCCAGCTTACTTGGTGGGACATTTGCAATCTCCATATAGGCAGACCATTCAAGGCACTTCGCCTATGCCCAAGTCACCACAGGTGCCAGCCCTACAGGCTGGGGGCCTCACCTATGCCCAAGTCACCACAGGTGCCAGCCTACAGGCTGGGGGCCTCACTGCAACAGTATGGCCCTACATGGCCTGTGGTCCCCCACGGAAGCAAATCTGCACATCAATCACTTGGAGCTTCTTGCAATCATCAAAACTTTCCGTGCCTTTGAAGGCCTTCTCTCAGGATGTGCTATTCAAATAACTACTGACAACACCACAGTCCTATTTTATATAAACATGCACATCAGTCACTTGGAGCTTCTTGCAATCATCAAAGCTTTCCATGCCTTTGAAGGCCTTCTCTCAGGATGTGCTATTCAAATAACTACTGACAACACCACAGTCCTATTTTACATAAACAAGCAAGAAAGAACACTCTCTGTCTCTCCTCTACCTGACGGTTCAACTGTGGGAGTGATGTTACGCTCGCCACATTTAACCGGCCGCAGTATACATCTCTACAGAGCACAACGCCCTCGCGGATCAATTCAGCAGACTCCACTCATGCATCCACGAGTGGTTTCTCAACAATTATATATTCCACCTTCTATGTCATTGTCGGGACACCCCGCAGGTGGATGTTTCTGCCTCCCACACCAATGCAACATGTTCCCTTTGCTGTTCCAGGACAGAAATAGGACCATAGTCGATGGGAGATGCCGTCATGGCCACTTGGAACCCCAGGCTCCTGTACCTCTTTCCTCCTATTCCACTGCTCCATCATCAAAATCCGACAGGACAATTCCAGTGCCACCCTGATCGCCCCATGGTGGCCCCAACAACTGTGGTTCACAACCCTCCAGTCTATGGCCCCTGATTTCGTTTGCCTTCAATGGCTCCCACACCTGCTGACACTCAACCAGGGCAAGACTTTCCACCCCGACCTCCATACACTACATCTCACCTCCTGGATGATATTCTCTCAATAACGCAATTTTTAGACTATGCCTGCAAACCTTCTCTGTATTTGCCACAAAGAAATCCACAATAATAATTTTCTAGAAATATGACTGTAGTTTTGATAGTTTTCTGTTATATACCCTTTCACTGAAAGCAGGAAGATTTGCTTCTCTCTGGCGAGATTACTGTGGATGTCCCAGTAACATCTTTGTGTTCTGACTAGCTTTGTTAACACTTTCCCAGGGCAAACCACCTACGAAAAAAGCCAAAGTCTTGCACAAGGCAGCCTGGTCTGCTAAAATTGGAGCATTTCTTCACACACAAGGGACCGGACAGCTGGCAGATGGAACACGTACTGGCCAGGATGGTAAGTGTGGGCAGGAGACAGAGAGAATAAGAGCTGACACTTCAAACTGTGCGGTACATAGATCTTACCAGAATAAAGCACTTGATAAAAACTTTCTGTTTGAATTACTTATGTCAGCTGAAAGGAAAGAATTCATGTCTAACCTATGTAGGCTGAGGCAAAGGATGGAACACTACATAGGCAAAGGGAATCTGCATCCACTTGCCCTGTTTGAGTGGAGTGATTCAAACTGGATAGTATTAACTAAACAGCTCATACATCTTACATTGGTGTTTTACTGTATTGGTTGCATTTGTATCTGGCCCCTTTAGTGAGCTCCATATGATGTACATGGCTTTCTTTCTCCCCAGTTCATTCTCCAAAAGCCCTCTTGGGTAGAGGTCAGGCAGGGACATGTTCCAAGGGCCACTCAGTGTACTTCATGGCTCAGTAAGGGGTAGAAACTGGACCTCCCAATTCCCAGTCTAATCACTAATCAGTGTGGCTTCGCTCCTGTTCAAGATAGATTTATGAAGAAGAGAGGTAACAGCTGCTGCTGTCTGGACCAGGATATTTTTCTGTTCTTCTATATATATTTTGGGGGTACAAGCCCAGCAGTATTGTTCCCCCCCGACCCAAGGCCAACATTTTTCTAAGAGAATATGCCCCACGATGTATCGTGTAGGTCAGTTTCATGGCCCCTTTTATTAGCAAACCTCACTAGTGGCATGCAGTGGCCTTGATTTCACACGTTATTTTGTGTGGGTGGAGGCTTGTTGGAAGGATGGTTCTTCCCTGGAGTCAGGACATTAGACTGAAAAACCTATTTAGATCCCAGGCAAATAGTTCAACCTATCTGTGAGACTTGCTTGATGGAGAGAAACGCCAGTGTCTGGGCCCACTTTCTCATTTAAAGTTAAGCTTTAGCATATCAGGCAAAACCAAAAGGAAAATAAAAAATTCCTTAGGACTGAGGAAATGGACATGTCCACAGAAGCTCACATTAAAATGTATCAGTTAGTCTTTAAGGAGCCACTGTGTTTTTATCTTTTTTTTTTCATTTTCATTTTTTGTTTTTGTTTTTGCCTAATATGCTAGCACAGACTAACACGGCTACCTTTTCTACAGTGACTGCTCTTAAAGTTTTAGGGTACCCATAGCACAGACTAACATGGCTACCTTTTCTACAGTGACTAGTCTTAAAGTTTTAGGGTACCCTGGGTTGAGCTTTACTGAAAATTACGTAGTACCGTAGTGCGAAGAATCTGGCAAAAGTAGGACAATGTGACAATCAATTACCATTGCCCTGCAAAAGTGTGTGCTAGAGTTAGAGAGACGAGAGGAGGGAGAGGTTGCTCGCTAGTTAAGAGTGTTTATGTCTGGCTGCTATGTTATCTGTGTAAGACAAGGTCAAATGAATTCTCTTCCCATGGTACCTTAATTCCATATCTTCATAGGAACTGTTTAGGCATCAGTGTAAGGAGAGAAGACTAGGAGCAGATCCTGATCCTAATCTCTCATTCAGTGTTCAATTCTGCGTTGTTTGTGCTGGCTTCAAAGACATTATGAATAATTCATTTCTTGTCCACCTCTATAAACAGTTGGTGTGCTTTGTTCTGAATATACCTGGAATTTAGCTACCTCTCACTTTCTGTTAAATAAAGATTTCTGGGCGGTGTCAAAATAGGATGTTACTTGAATTAAAGCTATTACCATACTTGTTCTTGCTACTCTGGTATAGTATCTGTTTAATAACGTTAAACCTTCTGTACTGATATGATCCTGATGTTCTTTCTTATCTTCTCTTAGCTCTCATTGTGGGCTTTGACTGGGGAGCATACTTGCTGGACCATGGATGCAAGGCTGCCCCTGTTAGCAGTTTCAAACATGTGAGCACTTCCTGCTTTCTGTTATGACCTAGTGTGATGTATTGGAGCAAGACCCTGGTTCTGATATATTGATAAGAGAGAGCCAGAGGAAGGTGCCAGGAGAGACAGGGAATACCTTTTGTTTTCTAAAGCACTCACTTGTGTTTCTTCCAAGATGTTTCTTAAAATCATGACAAACATGAAAGGTTCCCAAAGCAAAGTACTGGAGCAAATTGTCTGCCTGGGAATATGGTTGGGACATATCATATGTCAGCCTAGAAAAAAATGACATAACATAAATATAGTTTAAAACAGGGATGTAAATGGGATACAGTGATTTACAAACAAGAACAGTGTTATCATTTTTAAAATCAAAATTGGGGAACTTATAGCCCAGTTTTGAACTCCAAGTCCCATGTACTCTAGCCAACATAACCCATTGGTCAAGGATGGTAGGAGTTGCACTCCAGCAATATCTAGAAGACTGTCAGTGTTGTGAATGGATCCCAGCCAGGCTCTGCAGCCATCTTAACATGAGCAATAGATTCAAAATATGAAAAGATTTGGGCTTTTGCCAACAATGGCATAGACACAGTGTTTTCATAGAATGTTATTGGTATGTGTGCCGCCCAGAGTAGTTGAATGACTTGATGGGCGGGATATAAATACAGTATAACAAATAAATAAATAAAATATGTAGTAATAAAACAATTTATCTAATAGTCTTTTAAAAATACACAAAACATTCTGTTCTATGAGATACCAGAATCTTACTCAAAGCAGAAGAAAAACAATACCCAAACCAAAAGTTATCATTGTCCACTTAAAATACAGTTTTGGTCAAAAGAGGAAATTTTAACTTGTTATATTTTTACATTAAAATCCATACAAAATGCGATATCGGTTACACTAAACTATTTTTTAAAACATGGAAACCTGCTCTGTAAAACTAAGAATTCTCCATGGCTCTGTAAACAACCATAAAAATTGCTCACTTTAAACTCCTGTTTTGCTTCTTATCATTATAAGGAAAAGTCCCCTTCCCCTTCAGGCAGTCTTGTCAGTCTTGAAGAGTAAAAAGAATTAGAAGACCTATGTTGCAGAATTATATCAGTTCTGAGATACACCTTCCTCAACACATATCAGGCAAAATCCAAAGGAATAAAGCAAACAAATAAAAAAAATTGGCAGTCTTTTATATTTTAATGTGCGTTTTAATGGATCAAATCCACTTCTTCAGACATATGGAATAAAATTAAATAAGACTATAGATATATGTGCTAGAATGAATGGGTGAATGTATCACCCATGATATTAATATTTGTACATGGTACTGATGATTTGTTAGTCTTTTGGTGCCTTTTCCTTTCCTTCTCCCCATCCCCCAGCAATCTTCTCTAACTGCACCCTCCATCTTTTAGGTCCCCCTTTATGACCAGTGGGAAGATGTGATGAAAAGGATGAAGGTGGAAGTTTTGAACACTGATTCTGTGCTTCCCAGTCGTGTGTATTGGATTGCCTCTGTTGTTCAGATTGCAGGTGGGTCTCTTCAAGGGGATTTGTTGGTTTGTGTTTAATTGAATGCTATTACCAAGAAGCTTCATGAGGGCAACCAGAGATTTAAGAGAAAAATAACAATGAACTCCTAGGGATTTGGAGGGATTCAACCCTTTTGATAGTCTCTTTCAACTCACTTTTTGTTAATCTCATTTTTGCAAAGTTTCCTCTTCTGTATACTCAAATCATCATCATCTTAGAACCACAATGATGGAAGGGATTCTTTGGATCATTGAGTCCAGCCCCTGTCAAGGAAGCACAGTGGAGAATCGAACTCCCATCCTCTGGCTCCACAGCCAGATACCTTACTTACTTACTTTATTTGATTTATACCCCGTCTATCTGGTCGACTCATCCACTCTAGGCAGCTTACAATATGAGATAAAACAATAAAACACAGAAAATACATAATCGTACCTAAACTATTGAACCATTTAGCAGTTCTGTTACTGTCTTCAATTTCCTTGCTGATTTATAATTTGCATATACATGAATTTGATGGCATTGTAGCCACAGTTTTGAACAGGGATCAACAGTTAATTATGTCTCACACTAGGTCATAGGCACCATTGTAGCCACAGTTTTGAACAGGGATCAGCAGTTAATTATGTCTCACACTAGGTCATGGGCACTACAGTATTTAGGACTATCTCCTCTGGTTAGTTCTGTGGCTAACTGTCCTAACAAAGAGTCCCTTGAAGTATATGCAAGAGCAGGTGGTACCTTTATAGACCATTAAAAATCATACAGTCTGCTAGGTTTCAGGACAATCCACTTTGTCAGGCTTGTACCTATATAAATAACTATAAGTAACTTTAAAATAAGAATACCAGGACAGCCTGGTTCTTTCCTAACTTACATCTAAGGAAAACAGCTGGCAAAATCCATCTTGTCATGAACTTTTGGGAGTGGTACAAGCCTGAAGAAGTGAAGAGTCATGATCCACAAGAGTTAGCAGATTGTATGACCAATCACTTACTCTTGCATTTGTATTATGCAATGACCACACAGCCCTCTCTTATTTCAGTTGAAGTATATGGTGACCCAAACATTCATGTAATCAGCCTGTGGGGAGGGGCAGCACCATGCTGGCTGGAGAATTCTGGGAGTTGTAGTTTTGAAAAATGTTTCTAACCTTAATTTGGAGGCATTCAATGGGTGGTATCCAGAGATAATGAGTTTCTCAGTAGCTGATACATTTGTCAGAAAAGACAGGATGAGAGTGTTCAGAATTTAATTTTTTTTCCTCCTTGTATTCAAAAATCTATCGTGACAGGATACAAAGCACTGCTACGTTATGAAGGATTTGAGAGCGACTCCAGCCATGATTTCTGGGTCAACTTGGGCACTGTGGATGTGCACCCTATTGGCTGGTGTGCCGTTAACAGCAAAATCCTGGTGCCACCCCAGAGTAAGTATCTTGGGTCTCACCCAACTATGAGTCTTTGTTTAAGTCACTGTTGAATCATCTGCCTTTTATCAGAACATACACTTTGGATCTCATGACTACAAATCCTAAACTCTGCTCTTTGCAAAAATTGTGGCAAACCGAACACTTCCACAAAGTATTTTAGCTGGTATGTGTGCTTGCAAATCCAAGAGTGACAGCTTTTGGTCAGAGGATTGGAGATAATGAGAGGCAAAGATAGGGTGAGTATCCGGGAATGCAGATAGTATCAAGCTTGAAATTATCCTGGCTCCAGAAGTCTGAAACCCCACTTGGTCGTTTGCTTGAATCCACACCTTTACCAAGGTTGCTAATGGACCCTTTTTCTTTTCCCCAGAGCCACTCGTTTTGGTTAACAAATTTCTATTTTCTCAGTACTATTCAGGGAACTTCGTTTTTCAAGATACAATTGGGTAAAAGATCAGTTATATGATTTTTACAAAGGAACGCCCATTGTAAATCAAAGTCTATGGCACCTGAGAGATTAACAAAGATATTGTAGCCTACACTTGGACAAACGATTGTCTGTTTCAATGGGCAAACCATACATCACACAGAATTTCATATTATGTTGGTATGAGAATGAAGATAGGAAGATGAGAGAGAAAAAAGTGGGAGCTGCTGCATGTTTAATTTGGTGTGCTTCTGAAGATTCAAAAGACAGACTTACGCGAGTTCTCTTTTTCATGCCATTTTCATGCGCAGCTATCCACGCCAAGTACACAAACTGGAGAGAGTATCTCATGAAGAAGCTTGTGGGGGCCAGGACAGTCCCAGTGGATTTTCATATAAAGGTGAGAAAAAACCTTTCTGCATGCAGGAGGCCTGTCTTCTCCAGTCTCCTTTCTGATTGAATACAGGTGGCAAAGGTAAGGTAAAGGTAAAGGGCATGGGACAAGCGACGGGAGCTCACTCCATCGCGTGGATTTGATCTTACGACTGCTTGGTCTTCTGACCCTGCAGCACAGGCTTCTGCGGTTTAGTCCGCAGCGCCACCACGTACCTGAACAGGTGGCAAGCCAGACATAATTGATGAGCGTAGATTTGTACCAAACATAGCAGCAAAGGAAAAACAGTTTAGGCATGTGCTGCATGATGGGTTTGAAAGCGGAGCTCCATGTGGGAATAATAGACAAGTATAAAGTTTGTCACATTTTTTTTTGTACATAGCCGTGTGCTATATTGTAGCCTACACTTTGCTCGGATGCTTTTGAACTGCAACTCCCAGAAACCCCAGTCAGGACAGCTGGTGGTGAAGGCTTCTGGGAGTTGCAGTCCAAAACTCCTGAGTAACCCAAGGTTAAGAACCAGTGGCCTACACTTCGACAAACTGTAGCCTGCTTCATCAGGCAAATGATATCAGGCAAAATCCAAAGAAACAAGACAAAAATATGTGGCACCTTGAAGACTGTTATATTTTAAGGGAAGCTTTTGTGGACTTGTCCATTTCGTCAGACATATGGAAACAGATTGAAATGTTGAAAAAAAATCAGTTTCACAAGTAGAACATTTTAAATAAGGCAAATTATGTATCACTCAAAAATTCACAGTATGGCTGGGTTGAGAATGTTGACAGCAGTATGCAGTTAAACCTGAATATATTTGCTGTAATCTTCCATGTTAATGACATGGTGTCGTCCAGTCTAAAGAGCTTTTAATAAATTGTAATTTTTGTCTTCATTGGCTTGACTAAAAACTCCATTCTTACATTTTTCTAAGTGTAAACCTTTCTGGCAAGCGAAGAGAGACTCCCCCTGCTGGCACATTTTAGAAAACATCCCTGGCCTATAAGAATTTTTCTTCATAATCTGTGCATCTGAATAGCGAGATGGCGGATTTAAGGAAGAGCTTTCGCAGCTTTCAGCTTCCAAGTTAAATGTGTGCTTAATGAACAGTGCTTATGTGAAATCACTGGCAGTGCCAATCAATCTGTCCTGGATTTTCATTGTGAGAGTTTGATTTGTGACTGTAATGGTGGTGGTGGGGGGTTACATTATTATGTCTTTCCTTGCCTCTTGCACATATCTTTCCATAAGATAGCCATGCTTAGAGAATAGTGATTTCTCCTGCTACAGTCTCCAAAGTTATAAAAGGGTATAAAGTACATTATCAAAAAGTGCATTCCTCTACAAGGTTACTTCAGATTAAGTCCCATTGCAATACCTGGGACTACTTATTAATACGCAAGGATAGAGTGATCAGCCTTGTTATGTAGCAATTAGTATTTTTAAAATGTAGTTAAAAATATTTAAAATGCTTCTCATAGCTTGGGCAAGATCCTGTTGCATAGCTTTGCTGGTCCAATGGAGATGACATCTCTAGCAGCACCAAATTGCTGCTAATTGAAGAATCTCTGTTTTGATTTTGGATTGCATGTGACTTTGTCTTTATTCAATGTGAATAGCACACAACCTAAAAATGAACTGGGAACTCTTAATTAGCAACAATATGCCACTGCCAGTGATATCATTTTCATTGTCATTGGTGCAAGTATGGAAAAGGATACTGGCTGTTATCTTAATAATCCTTAGAATAACCCTGTAAATTAGGATAATATTGACCTATATTACAGACCAGGCTATGCAGAAAAAGTGGCATTTAAGTGAATCAAAGCACCTGGTGGTAGAGGCAGAGGTCAGGAGTTTGATTCCCTACTGAGCTTCTATGACGTGAGGCAGCCTGTGGATCTGTGAAGTCCTAGAGAGCCACCAATGGAAGAGACTGGTAAACCACTTCTGCAAACTTTATACCTAGGAAACCCTGGCAAAGGTCAACATAAGTCAGAATTGACTTGACAGCATGTAATTGTAAATTAGTGAGTTCATGCTAGAAATGAGATTATTAAGCAAGGGATCCTAATTGAAGATGCACCAACACATTTAATGTGAGCTTTTGCTGGAAATTTGGGGCATAAGATTTCGTATCAAATGGTAGCAATACTAATTCTGGAGTTTTGGCTGGATCTCTTGATTTAAGAAGAGATTGTATAGTATGCAGATTAGAGCACTCTGCTGGGGAGGGGGCAGGACAATTTCAAGTCACTTCTCAAGCATAAAAATCACTGTGCATGGTCAGACAAAGGGTTAGTTTGGTCCAGCATTCTGTTCACATGGTTGCCATCCAGTGTCTTGTGAGGATATGAGTGCAGTAGTACCTCTCCTGCTCATGGTCCCTAGCAACTTACCAACGGAGAAATACTGTCTCTGTTTATGGAGGGGAGAATATATCCATCCTGACTAGTAGTCACTGGTAGCCCCAGAAATCACAATCTTCTTCAAGTCCTTTTTAAAAGTGGTCCAAGCTGGCAGCATCACTGTCTCATGTAGCAACAAATTCTACAGTTTATATATTTTGTAAAATACTTTTTAATCTGTCCTGAATCTCCTATTATTCTACTTAACTGGATGGCCTTAGGTTCTAGATAGAAAGGGGCAACAGTTTCCCTGTCCACATCATGCCTAACATTATATACTTGTATCAGGTCACTGCTTATCGGCCTTCTCCCCTCCCAAAGCTAAATAGCTGCAGAACTTGCAGTTTCATATAGAAGAATTGCTTCAGTTCCTTGGTCCCTTAGGGTACCCTTTTCTCCGTCAGGAAGCTTGCTGGATGGCTGTGGGCCAGTCACAGTCTGTGAGCCGAGCTTGCCTTGTTGAGAACGGAGGGAGAAGAAACCTTGCTCCAAACTTCTTGGAAGAAAAGCAGCATAAAATATCAGCAACTGTCAGACTGATTCCTCTGAATGCTGTGGATGAGGCAAAGCAACAATAGAAGTGTTGGAATCGTAAATATCAGAATTTGATAGGATTGTGTTTCATTCATGAAGGATTACATGGCTACAGTTAGGTCCAGAAATAATTTGGACACTGACACAATTTTCATAATTCTGGCTCTGTACGCCACCACAAGGGACTTGAAATGAAACAACCGAGATGCAATTGAAGTGCAGACTTTCACCTTTAATTCAAGGGGTTGAATAAAAATATTATTTATTTGATTGATTGATTGATTGATTGATTTCTATCCTGCCCTTGTAGACAAAGTCTACTCCGGGCGGGTTCCATCAAACATTATAAACTAAAACAGTTAAAAACAATTAAATACAATTCAAAACAATAGTAATTAGTAATGCTTAGTAGTGCTCAAGATGGGAAAACAGAAAATTATAATAAAAATAAAGTCAGGTATTGACAGGAGGGAAGGCCTGCCGAAAGAGCCAAGTTTTAATTGACTCTTAAAACACCCAGCGAGGGAGCCAGATGGATCACTGATGGGAGGTTATTCCAGAGCCGAGGGGCCACTGCCAAGCAGGCCCGGTTTCTTGTTCTTTCTCTCCGGGCCTCTCTCGTCATTAGGCCCCTCAGCCATCCCTCCTGGCTACGGCGAGTGATTAGAAACATATGAAATGTTTAGGAACTGCAACCATTTCCATACACAGTCCCCTTCTTTCAGGGACTCAAATGTAATTGGGCAAATTAACAAACTTATAAATAAAATGTTCATTTGTAATACTTCATCGAGAATCCTTTGCAGGCAATGACTACTTGAAGTCCGGAATGCATGGACATCACCATATGCTGGGTTTCCTCTTTTGTGATGCTTCACCAGGCCTTTGCTGCAGCTGTCTTCAATTGTTCATGGGTCTTTCTGCCTTGTTTTGTCTTCAGGAAGAGAAATGCATGATCAAAGTCTTCTCTTCATGGTAGACTTGGATAATGATATGTCTACCTCCGGGAGAGTGTTCTTCACTTGGCTAGATGTTGTGAAGAGGTTTTTCTTTACCATGGAAAGGATCCTACGCTCATCCACAACTGTTGTCTTCTGTGGATGTTCAGGCCTTTTTGTGTTGCAGAGCTCACCAAACTGTTAATTCTTTTTCTCAGAATGTACCAAACTGTTAATTTGGCCACTCCTAAGGTTCCTGCTATTTTTATATATTTATTTATTGCTGCCTAAGGATCTCCTGTTTCACTTGCATTGAGAGCTCCTTTGAACGCATGTTGTGGGCTCATAGCAACAACCTCCAAATGTGAATGCCACACCTGGAATCAACTCCAGAACTTTTACTTGCTTAATCAATGATGAAATAACAAAGGAATAGCCCAGTCAGTGAAACAGCTTTTGAGACAAATTGTCCAGTTACTTTTGGTCTCTTGAAAAAGAGGGGGCTACTTATTAAAGAGCTGTAATTCCTAAACCCTCCAATTTGGATGTAAGGTAAAGGTTCCCCTTGACATTTTAGGCAGTTGTGTTCGACTCTAGGGGGTGGTGCTCATCCCCATTTCCAAGCCGTAGAGCCAGCGTTTGTCCTAAGACAGTTTCTGTTGTCACGTGGCCAGCACGACTACACACAGAACGCTGTTTACCTTCCCATCGAGGTGGTACCTATTTATCCACTCGCATTTACATGCTTTCGAATTGCTAGATTGGCAGGAGCTGGGACAAAGCGACGGGAGCTCACTCCGTCATGTGGATTCGATCTTACGACTGCTGGTCTTCTGACCCTGTAGCACACAAAGGCTTCTGTGGTTTAACCCGCAGCGCCACCACGTCCCTTAATTTGGATGTGAATACCCTCAAATTAAAACTAAGAGACTGCACTTTAAGCCCATATTCATTATTTAACTATAACTTGCATTTATTTTGGTAAAATAACAAAACCTGTGTCAGTATCCAGTTATTTCCAGACCTAACTATATACGTATTCTGGAGGTGTAGATGTAGTAGTAGTGCAGATAGCACTTGATCTGCCTATCCAGTTATTTCCAGACCTAACTATATATTCTGGAGGTGTAGATGTAGAAGTAGTGCAGATAGCACTTGATCTGTGCAGCAAAAGTTGAATATATGGCATGGAAAGCAGCATTGACCCTCTTCTTCTTTTCTCAGATGACTGAAAGCATGAAGTATCCTTTCCGCCAAGGCATGAGACTGGAAGTGGTAGATAAGACCTGTGTCTCCCAAACACGTATGGCTGTAGTGGACAGTATAATTGGTGGCCGGCTGAGACTTCTTTATGAAGATGGGAACAGTGATGATGATTTTTGGTGCCACATGTGGAGTCCCCTAATCCATCCTGTAGGCTGGTCCAAAAGAGTTGGCCATAACATAAAGAAAGGAGGTGAGGTGTTTGCATCAGACAAACATAACTTGTCTACTATTTCAGGGTTATCTGTCCATTAGTAACATGTAGCAGCAAACTTGCATTCAGTGGGCAGAGCCAACCTGTGAAAAGCAAGTTGTGTTCTTGTCTGCACCCATGGTCCAGTGATACTGCTAACGTTGCATCTGGTTCTTGGCTCAATTTAAGTTCAGGTGCTCTTTAGCCATTTGAACGAATGAACAAACAGATGCATTCAGTGTAGCCATCACATACACTGTAAGTCTGAGACTGGTCTTACTGAACTGTTGTGACTGTTGCTTCCAAACTCCAGCTAGCAAGACGAGGCTAATCAGTATATTTGCTAAAGCTGAACCTAAGTAACTGACACCACCCTCTTTTGGGCAGGGGAGAGGTTTCTGAAGTCCACCAGTGTCAAGAGTCAAGGTAATGTAGGTCAGTGCACACCTTTCTTACTCAGATGTATTTTCAACCAGCATTTTGTTCCCTCTGTAATTTATCTAAAGTAGAATACGTTTGGTTGACACTTTTACTGTAGATTGGCAACATTTGACTATGATGGCTGTAAACAGAACAGGAGGAAATGTCATTAAAAGAGGAACATCATGTATTAACATTGCTTTCACACTTTAACATTGCTTTTAAAATTTTCACTGTGAGTCACTTAGTCATTAATTTGCAAACCATTGCTTTTAAAATTTTCACTGTGAGTCAGTCATTAATTTGCAAATGGCTGGTGTCCTGCAGTAGAATTGCCCATGACTAGACATGTTCTGAGATGGCTATTTTTAGTAGAAATGCAGGAAGGCAGTGTTGAGAAGAACTAGCAGCCATTTATGCCTGGCAATGGCCAGAATCTAATTGGTGTTTGCTTAAGACTTGTGTGGCTTGCCACAACTAATTGCACCTAATTGACAAGGTGCCACGGCATGTCTTGGTTGCATGCCTGGTCACACACCCAAATGGACAACTGAAATGCACCCTAGCATCTCTTCAATTAGTTGTGGCAAGTTAAACAAGGATTATACGAGCACCACTAGCATTCCAGCCAATGAGATGAAAATGGCATTGCCTTTTTCATCTTTTATCAACAGGTTGGAAATCCGTACACTGTTGACATGTGTACATACATGAAAGCAGAACTTTAAGAGCTACTTTTTTGTATTGCAACTTCCAGAATCCCCCAGCTAGTATAGTCACTGACTGTGCTAACCAGGTGTCTGGGATGTTCTGGGAATTGGCGTGCAAAAATTGCATGTTGTCGTTTAGTTGTGTCCGACTCTTTGTGACCCCATGGACCAGAGCACGCCAGGCCCTCCTGTCTTCCACTGCCTCCCGAAGTTGGGTCAAATTCATGTTGGTAGCTTCGATTACACTGTCCAACCATCTCGTCCTCTGTCATCCCTTTCTCCTCCTGCCTTCACACTTTCCTAACATCAAGGTCTTTTCCAAGGAATCTTCTCTTCTCATTAGATGGCCAAAGTATTGGAGCCTCAGCTTCAGGATCTGTCCTTCCAGGGAGCACTCAGGGTTGATTTCCTTTAGAATGGATATGTTCTCCTTGCAGTCCAGGGGACTCTCAAGAGCCTCCTACCAAAATTACATAGCATTTTCTAAACCCTTCAAAGCAAAGCATGCTGCTTATATGCTGCCCCATAGTGCTTAAAGCACTCTCTGGACGGTTTACAATTATGCAGGCTGCACATTGCCACCCCCCACCCCCCCCGCAAGCTGGGTATTCATTGTACCAACATTGGAAAGATAGAAGGCTAAGTCAACCTTGAGTCAGCTACCTGGGATTGAACCCCGGGTTGTGAGCACAGTTTTGGCTGCAGTACAGTAGTTTTACCACTGCGCCATGAGGCTCCTAAAAGGAGATATCTTCACCAGTTCCTGTTCACTTTCATGAACTGCCGTTGGAACATGTTATTCTTTAATTTAATTTGCACATTCTATTATAAAAATCTTTTTGTTTGCAATATAATTTTTTATATCTAGGTAAATTTAGAAGCTTTGGTTCAGCAATATCAGGATATGTATTGTATAAATCTATATAATTTTTAATAGCAGTCAGAATAAGGGGTTAGAGTGACATGTGGCTAATATCTTGTACTGCTTCATGTATCATATAAAAAGTTGGAATTGTTAGCATATTTCGGGGTCCCTCTTTCTTTCTACCAATGCCTGTTATGTGTTTTTCTTGAAAGAAAGGTACAATGAAATGGCCAACCACCCAACCTTCCGGAAGATCTACTGTGATGCTGTTCCATATCTTTTCAAGAAGGTAACTGAGGAACTATTGAGGTCTTGTTTCCATTCCTGCCTGGGAAGATAATATGTGCAGGATTGGGGTATGTGTGAGGGGGATGTGGAGCTGGTGAACTCTGTCTCCTGCAGTGCCGGAGGATAGCAGCTGGCCCCATCTAAGAAGCTCATTGTAAAAATATTGGGGAGGTTTGAGAATAGAGTGGAAGACCTGGAATAACTAAATACAGAATGGAATGGAGAGCAAGAATGCTAAAACTCTCTCCAGAAGCACATGGAAGGGTATCTGTGCATGAAAATATTTGTTCTGTTGTCTAAAATCTAAGGGTGAGACCTTATGGGAAATTTACGTGAAGGTGGTGTCTCCTTGCTAACCGTGTTGAGTGACAGTTGTACTTCCACTTCAGCAAGAGAGAAACACTGGAGAAAAGCACTCTACCATGTTTATTCCATTTACTCTTGCAGCCTTGTCTTGTGATATATCTTCCTATTTTTCTTGTAAAACATCTGATGAACTGAAGAGTATAAGAGGCTACAGCTTACCTAAAGCTACTCAGCAAACAACTGAACTCAGAGCTCCTGGGTGCTAAACCTGTTTTATCTAGACATCCAGTTTGCCTTTTCCCCCCTTAACTAAAGTCTTTTCCCCATAATGTGTTTTAGGTGCGTGCAGTCTACCCAGAGGGTGGTTGGTTCGAGGAAGGGATGAAACTGGAAGCCATTGACCCTTTGAATTTGGGCAACATTTGTGTGGCTACTGTTCGTAAGGTATGCTTGTCTGAGAAGAGAGAGAGAGTGTGTGGTTACAGCTCAGCATAGCAATACAAAACCTTCTTTGCTCTATTTGTGTGAACATACCTGTCATATTTTGTCTTCCAAGGAGCTTAGACTTTGAATTTATTGTGGAAATTGTTACAGAAAGAAGGGAACTTAATATGGATTACACCTTATAGCGATGGCTTTCAACCTTTGCTTCTCCAGTTGTTTTGGACTTCAACTCATAGAATCCCTTACCATTTGACATGTTGATGGGGGCTTCTAAGAGCTGAAGTCCAAAGCAGCTGGGGGACAATTCACTAGGGGCATTTTCAGTATGGAGCATTGAGGCTTTGGGATTCTGTCCTTAAATTGTTGTTGTTGTTTAGTCGTTAAGTCATGTCCAACTTTTTGTCACTCCATGGACCAGAGCACCCCAGGCCCTCCTGTCTTCCACTGCCTCCCGGAGCATGTTGGTAGCTTCAGTTGTCCAGCTCTCACTTCCATATATCACTACTGGAAAAACCATAGCTTTGACTATGCGGACCTTTGTCGGCAAGGTGATGTCTCTGCTTTTTAAGATGCTGTCGAGGCTTGTCATTGCTTTCCTCCCAGCAAGCAGGTGTCTTTTAATTTTGTGGCTGCTTTCACCATCTGCAATGATCATGGAGCCCAAGAAAGTAAAATCTGCCACTGCCTCCATATCTTCCCCTTCTGTTTGCGAGGAGGTGATGGGACCAGTGGCCACAATCTTAGTTTTTTTGATGTCGAGCTTTAGCACATTTTTTTGCGCTCTCCTCTTTCATCCTCATTAAGAGGTTCTTTAATTCCTCCTCACTTTCTGTCATCAGAGTTGTATTGTACGGTAGTTGGAGCATTCTTTGGCACTGTCCTTCTTTGGGATTGGGATGTAGACTGATCTTTTCCAATCCTCTGAAAACTGCTGAGTTTTCCAAACTTGCTGGCATATTGAGTGTAGCAACTTAACAGCATCATCTTTTAAGATTTTAAAAGGAGGAATTAAAGAACTGGAATGTCATCACCTCCACTGGCCTTGTTGTTAGGGATGCTTTCTAAGGCCCACTATCTGATTTGTCCGGGATATCCAGGTATAATTCCTCTGTGTATTCGTGCCACCTCTTCTTGATGTCTCCTGCTTCTGTAAGGGCCCTACCATTTTTGTCCTTTATTGTGTCCATCTTTGCACAAATGTTCCTTTAATATCTCCAATTTTCTTGAACAGATCTCTGGTTTTTCCCCTTCTATGATTTCCCTCTGTTTCTTTCCACTGTTCATTTAAGAAGGCCATCTTGTCTCTCCTTGCTATTCTTTGGAAGTCTACATTCAGGTTTCTCTAACTCTCCCTATCTCCTTTGCAATTTGTTTCCCTTCCCTCTCCTCCGCTATTTGTAAGGCCACACTGGACAGCCAGTTTGCTTTCTTGCATTTCTTTTTCTTTAGCATGATTTTCGTTGCTGCCTCCTGTACAATGTTACGAGCCTCCATCCATAGTTGTTCAGGCACTCTCTCCACCAAATCTAGTTCCTTAAATCTGGTCTTCACTTCCACTGTGTATTCATAAGGGATTTGGTTTAGATTGTATCTGACTAGCCCAGTGGTTTTTCCTACTTTCTTCAGTTTAAGCTTGAGTTTTGCTATAAGAAGCTGATGATCAGAGCCACAATCAGCTCCAGATCTTTTTTTTTTCTGACTGTATTCAGCATCTCCATCTTTGGCTGCAGAAAACATAATCTGATTTCGGTACTGCCCATCTAGTAATGTCCATGTGTAGAGTCACCTCTTGTTGGAAAAGAATGTTTGTGATGACCAGATTGTTCTCTTGACAAAACTCTATTAGCCTTTGCCCTGCTTCATTTTAAACTCCACGGCCAAACTTCCCTGTTGTTCCTTTTATATTTTGACTCCCTACTTTAGCATTCCAGTCCCCTATAATGACAAGAACATCTTTCTTTGGTGTCAGTTCTAGAAGATGTTGTAAGTCTTCACAGAATTGGTCAATTTCAGCTTCTTAAGCATCAGTGAGTGGTGCATAAACTTAGATCACTATGATGTTGAAAGATCTTCCTTGGATTCGTATTAAAATCATTCTTGTCATTTTTGAGATTGTATCCCATTATAGCTTTTCCCACTCCTTTGTTGACTATGATGGCTACTCCATTTCTTCTAATCTACGGGATTCTTGCCCACTGTAGCAGATATGATAATCATCTGAATTGAATTCGCCCATTCCTGTCTTTTAGTTCACTGATGACCAGGATGTCAATGTTTATTCTTGCTATCTCATGTTTGACCTCATCCAGCTTACCATGGTTCATAGATCTTACATTCCATGTTCCTATGCAGTCTTTAAATAGGTGTGGCAAATCCTCTCATTATAACCTTTTAGGAATCTGAAAAAGTTTTGTTGACAGAGATTTCGTTGACCCTTTGTTATCCAGGGCTTTCATGTCATTGATGCGTTTTCCAGTATGGATGTGTGTTCAGTTCTCAATAGTTTCCACGCTCTTCTTGTAAAAGGAAAGTGAGAAAAATACTAGAAAACTGAATGGGAAAATCTAAAACTTGTTGCAAAAGCTTCATCAGTGACAGAACATCAGGAGATTTGGATGTAAGTTAACTTTTCTTTCTCTTCTCTCTTAAGGTACTGTTAGATGGCTATCTCATGATTGGCATTGATGGTACAGCCTCAGAGGATGGTTCTGACTGGTTTTGTTACCATCCTTCTTTGTATTCCATTTTCCCTGCTGATTTCTGCAAGAAGAACAATATTGAGTTGACCCCTCCTAAAGGTGAGCCTCTCAGACCACTTTTTTATTCTCTTTGTCAGCTTTGTTGTAGAAGGAAGCAGATCACATGACCTGTCCACAAGATGGCAGGAAGGAGGAGGCGTTGTTTGCATTAGACTGTAGTTGGGAAATCTCCAAGTTATGTTTCTTGCTTGGCATCAAGATAACAGTTTTGGTTATTGAGAGGCAAGGTGTTAACCTGTTATTCCAGACCTTCTCTGTAAAAAGTTAATGTAGTTCCATACTTGCTGCATTCTGGGCTTTCTCTAGATAATACCAGTAACCCCAAAGTTTGATTTCATGCTACTTACAGCACTCATCTGGGGGTGAGAGGGTGGAGGTGTGCAGTATATTGGGACTAATCAAGGTGGGAGGAATGCTTGAGTCTATACTCTCATTTCCGTGTGTCTTTTCATTCTACTGAAAGCTAGAATGATTTGATGCTTATGATAACTGTCATAAGACAACAGTCTGTCTAGTCACCACTCTGAAAGAGAAACAATACTGTTTTCCTCTGCACTATGAAACTTGGCTGTATGCTCCTGTTTCAGTATCCCCTAGGGCAGTGGTCCCCAACTTTGGGCCTCCAGATGTTCTTCCCAGAAGCCTTCACCACCAACCTCTGCTGGCCAGGATTTCTGGGAGTTGAAGTCCAAGAACATCTGGAGGCCCAAGGTTGGGGACCACTGCCCTAGGGGGATATTGTAGGTTGCCACCATTCCTTCTGTTGCCTCTTGATTTGTTTGTGAAGATCTAATGGGAGCTACTCTCTCACGTCAGTAACATCTCAACTTCATATTTCAGGGTATGATGCTAAGACCTTCAGTTGGGCATGTTATCTAGAAAATACCAAATCAAAAGCTGCACCAACACGACTCTTCAACATGGTAAGTACCTAACAGAGGATCAAGATCTCAGTAGAAGCATCAGTCTTGTGAGAAGTACCCTTGTACCAATCATTGATGCAGGTCTATCCTTGGAACAACATTAACAGTTCTGCTTCCCTTGTCTTAGATATGAAGGTAGAGAAAAAGCCAATTAAGATTATCAACTGCTTGGAACATATTCCCTGTGAGAGAAAGGATCAAGTGTCTGGGCTACTTTTGTTCAAGGGACTACTGTGGAGGAAAGAGAGAGAGAGGAATATGGTAAACATTATAAGGGTTCCCAGTACGGTGTAGTGGATAGAATAAGAGACTAGGACTCTGGAGAACAGGGTTCAAATCCCCATTCAGCTATGGAAACTAACTGGAAGAGTGGAACTGGAAAATATTCTTTAAATATCTCACTTACGTTGAAAACCCTGATATGGTTAGTGTAGGTCAGTTCCAACTTGACAGCATGTAACAACAATAGAGATTATAAACTTACAAATGGTCTATGTGAAAACAGGAATTCTTCTTTAACTGGGATCAACCAACAAAGTTGACTTTACAGTAGGTTCAGAACCAACAATGGGAGGCCCTGCTTCATGCAACAAAGAACAGACAGTGGTTTAGATAGTTCTTCAAAAGAAAAAGGAAAAATAGCTGAGCAAATTTTGTGAAGCAGACTTACCAACAGTCATAAAATATGCTGACAGTGTCAGAATGTTGGACTGGGATTTGCAAGATTCAGGTACAAATCCTCACTTGGCCATGAAGCTCACTGGATAGCTATGAGCCAATTACACTCTCTCAGACTGACCTACCTCACAGGGCTGTAGTGAGCATAAAAAACCCATATACTGCCTTGAGCTCACTTGGAGAAAGACTGGAGGAAAATGTTGTAAATAAATTTTTAAAAGCCTCTACATCCAGAGTTAACAAATTTCCCTAGGTATTGGGTGCTAGAGGTGACCAGTGGAGGTGTCTTGGTTTTGCAAAATATAGATTCTTCACTGGTTGCCACAAGGGACTCATTGTCCACAGAATGTTTTTTTTCTAATCCTGGTTTTCATTTTGTCTCTCAACTTTTCATATGAGGAGATATCTGCATAGTTCCCTCACCCACGACTGATTCCTAGCCATCTCTAGAATGGTGTGCCGGAACCTTCTGTTGAAACTGAATTATACACTGCTGTCTTTCCTTGCCAACTTGACTTGCTGGGTTCATATGATGCTGTACACTCTTCTCTTTTAGGTTCCCTTGTACACACCAATTCTTCTCTTTAGGTTCATTTGTCTTTTTAATTTAATTCATAAAATTACTGAGGCACTTTTTGGCTTAAATGTCCTCTTGAAATGTCTTTCGGTTTAGAACTTTAAAGCTCTTTAAAAATTTGATCACAAACTACCAATTAAGAACAGTCTTTTAAAAGAAATGGGCAGAGGCAAGGCGCATTATACCTTCTGGGCTTACGTTGCTGGTATCACAACTGGCTTCATAAAATGAATTAGGTGCAGAGAATAGACGATCATCTTTCAAGCTTCCATTTCTTGGGTTACTGTTGCAAAGTGTGACCATTTATTTGGGAAAAGTTTGGACCCTGTCACATTAGAGAAAGCATTTATTAATTTGTTTGAGTGATTGATTAATTAATTAAATTGCATGGTGCCTTTCTCTAAAATGAATCTTCTAGTGAGCTGCCTTCCTGAAAACTAAAAACACAGTTTATGGCATATTAATGAAGAAACTAGAACATTCACCTGGTAAAATGCCCAGTCCTCATCAGCTGATCACTTGCTAAAAGCTACCTTCATCAAAGGGTCCTTGCTTGCCCCTGAAAGGCAGAGGGGATAGTGAGCTTCAGATCCTGGAAGTGACCACAAAGGAGACCCTCTTATTCATTGCTTCCATCAGATAGCAGTGTTTTCATTTCTCTGCAGTATGTTCAGTTCCCTGTTTTCCTGTGCCCTTCATTCATCCTTTGTACCCAGGCTGACATCCACTTTCTCTCCCCCACATCAGCCCTTCTGAAAACATTTGAAAAACCAAATCCTAGCAGACTAAATGCAAAATGCAATCCATTTTGCACTTAGGATTAGAATGTCAGTGATCCAAGATGGATAGATTCCGACACTACCCAAGTAGATCTTGCTGAAAGGGAATTACAAAGACTGCACTGCATTGTCAAATCACCTATTTATAATCTGAACATTGATATTGTTTACTTGCATATATCTTAGCTTCTTGGTTCATTGCATATCTCATGTTTGGACATACATCCTTTCTTGTCCTGGGATCTTGAGATTTCATAGAAGAAAACACTGCAGAAATCAGATTCCTGAGCACTTTGGTTGTTATTTATTTATTTAAATTAATGTAACTTCCCAGTCCTTCCTAAAATGGATATAGATTAAAAGAAAAACAAAGATATGAGCTTGGATTTAGGTTTATTGTGTTTCTCCTCTTTCAAGGATTGTCCAAATCATGGCTTCAAAGTGGGCGCCAAACTGGAAGCTGTTGACCTAATGGAGCCAAGGCTCATCTGTGTGGCCACAGTAAATCAGGTGGTCCATCGACTCCTAAGAATCCACTTCGATGGCTGGGATAGCGAATATGACCAGTGGGTGGACTGTGAGTCTCCAGATATCTATCCTGTGGGTTGGTGTGAACTGATAGGCTATCAGCTGCAACCACCAGTGGTTCCAGGTAAGAGAATCTGACTTCACATGTTTTTGATAGCCAACTGACCTGCGGTTATTCCCCCCCCCCCAATATTTGTGAGAAAAGTCTTCCACTTCACCCATGTTCTTATTGTACAGATAACCTTAGCAAGTTTGAAAACAGAAACCTAGCAGGCGCTAGTGAGGAACTCTAGGTGAAATAAAATCCCTTTGGAGTTCCTTGGGTTCTCTGGCAATTGCAGTTTAGCTCCTTGTATTGTGGTCTTGTCTTCCCTGCCATATTTCCCTTAAAAGAGGAGTATGTTTTTGTTTTACTTTCAAGTGTTTCTTTCTGTGGTCAGCAGAGGTCAGTGCTGCTGAGTTTTAGTTTCCGAAATAACTCTTTGCCACTGCTTACCTGGATGCCATTTTCCTTAGATGGTTCACTTTCTAGAATAAATTACTCAATGAAGCCCACTATATGGTGCAGTATTTGGAATGCTGAACATCTTTAGACTGGTTCTTTGTATTTAAATATAAATAAAGTCTCTAGCCATCAAGTTTGTGAGAATACCTGTTTGAAAGGCATAGACAATAACTGCATCCTGTCTCTTGGTATGAACTTGGTATGAACCTGGAGGCATATAGTGGCAAATGCCCATTTATTCCATCTGTTACCATAAACATTTCACCTATTTGGTCCAGATGACATTTTCCCTTTTCATAGTGTTCCTCTCTCTGCATACTACCTTACTCTGAAGCAAAATATTGGTGTGGGGAATTGCTATAGGAGGCCACAACATAATTTATACTAAGTAAGTAAACACAGCATTAAGGGAGGGATAGAGAGGACCATTGTCCCTGTCCTTCCCTTGAGAGTTGCTTTTTATGCAAGATATTTCAAACTTCCTACATTTGGGAACTTAGAATGTTTATCTGAAATGTCACATTGCACTGGCCCAGATCTTCTTATCTAGTTATGTAAGCATCAGGGACATCATCAGTTGCACACTAAGTCATACAACTCAGTGTGTGACTGTCCATGTTTACAGTGATTTCTTAGCTTGGGGCAATTTGCCCCCAAAAGTTGCACTATTTGCATAGTTACATGAGAGGATTTTGACACATGTCTTCATAGTGTCTGTATAGAATCTGAACAGAAACTCTTTTGTTGGTACCAGAGCCCGTGTCACCTCTCCCAACCAAGGATGTACCAAAGAAAAAGCGGAAGCCATACAGAAAGAAAAGTAAGTCACAGTTTGACCATCCCCCCCATGATGTCTCTTTATTTCACCTTAAGAAGCCAAGATTTGACGTTTTTTTTCACATGACGACAATTTCACTGTACAGCGATTTTGACAGAATGGATTATCGTCGTCATGCGGGGCACCACTGTATAAGATAACCATCCATTTTTAGTCTAATGATTTTAGGAAAAAGTAGTATCTTATAGAAGGAAAATATGGTAATATTTTCTTGTTTCTTATAAAAGAATCAGGATTCTGGGTTAGATGGACCACCTTAGGTCAATGGGTTGATTTTGCAAAATATTTTAAATAGGCCTTTACCACCTGCATCACGCTTGCTGCCTCAGCAAGAACCAGGAACATGTTCTTTTTTAAACGGCTTGGAAGGTAAATAGACTTCTTTCTTTTATTTTCTTCTTCTTTCTTAATACAAAGGAAAAAAGGTGACCACTAAATCCCGTTCGGTCAAGCAACCAATGAAGAAAACAAGTGCATCAAAAGCAAAGGAGGAAATAAAAGCTGCCCCTAAAATACCAGCTTCCAAAGCAGCGGGAGATACACACCCAGCAAGCAAGCCTTCATCAAAACCAGCTTCTGATGAAAGTAAGGCAAAACTATAACTTAATTATACCTCCTCTCCCTTCTCAATTCCTTTCTTCATATGTGGGGCAGGAGAAAGATGGTAGGAAAGCATCTGTTTATATACGCTTGCTCACTAATTGCCCCATGTTTCCTGTGGATGGGGAAATCGTGCAATTAAGATGAATTCCAGAGATGTTAGAGGCTTCCTGTGCTTGGACTAGAATAGATTGCTAGAAGCAGTGATCAAGGTGTCCAGAATTTTAAGTCCTCCATTATGAATGAATTGTATAAATGAAATAAATGTCTTTCCCTTTCACAATGCAATGATAATTGATGATGACAGTATGCCTTTACGTCAATCCTGACTCGCTGTGATCCTTTTCAGAATTAGCTATAGAGAGAGTACTCAGGAGCGATTTACCATTCCCTTCTTCTGGAGGCATCCTGGGACTGTGCAGGGCCACACATTTTTATTTTTGTTTTCTTTCTGTGAGCCTCCATAAATTTTACAAATTAATTGGGGTACAGTAATCTGCTAGTGTTTTGATTTGTATGCTTTTGTTTAGAATAGTTTTTTGTTTTAGCATACAAAATTAACTAGAACTAAAGAGAAACAGCCTAAATAAAACCAAATTATGCAGATTACCACCACCAAATGCTGACTATAATTTGCATAATTTTGATTGTAGTTTGTTTCTCTGCAGTTCTAGTTAGATTTTATGGACTGGGGCTTATACAGTCATTTTTTCTAAGCAGAGATAGTGGAGAGACTGGACACATTTGTAATGTGGATTATAAATAAAAAGTGCCTGTTTGATTCATAACTATCCAAATAACAGTGTCATTTATCTAGGCATGTAGGTTACATGCATTAGCATATATTCAGTTTTCAAGGTAAAGGTAAAGGTTCCCCTTGACATTTAGTCCAGTTGTGTCTGACTCTAGGGGGCGGTGCTCATCCCCGTTTCCAAGCCATAGAGCCAACGTTTGTCTGAAGACAGTTTCCGTGGTCACGTGGCCAACATGAGTAGACACGGACCACCATTACCTTCCCACCATGGTGGTACCTATTTATCTACTTGCATTTTTACATGCTTTCGAACTGCTAGATTGGCAGGAGCTGGGACAAGTGACAGGAGCTCACTCCGTCACGTGGATTTGATCTTACAATTGCTGGTCTTCCAACCTTGCAGCACAGAGGCTTCTGCAGTTTAACCCGCAGCGCCACCACGTCCCTCTTCAATTTTCAAACCAATCTATAATTTATAGATTCTGTCTAAGTCATGAAGAGTTCCAGAACAGTGTAGGGCTTACACCTACACCTTGATTTCCAAAGCACTAAAGAGAAACCGATAGGGGTTTTATTTTGTTTCATTTTTTACCGAATCAAATTTTCATTAAGGTGAAACTTGGTGGCCAGAATCCTACTGAGTGTTTATACTGGCACAGTGCTAGTGGCATAAATCTTGGCAGTGAATTGTTGAATTGGTTGTTGTGGGTTTTTCGGGCTCTTTGGCCGTGTTCTGGAGGTTGTTTTTCCTAACGTTTCGCCAGTCTCTGTGGCCGGCATTTTCAGAGGATCTGGCATTAGTGCCAATGTCCTAAGCAACTGCAGTCACATAGTTCTTAAATATCTTGCTCTACAGATATTGATACTTGATCTTCTCTGGAGTGTTTGAAGGCCCTGAAGGCATTTTATCCCTAACATTTTACTACTATGTGCTTTATTTAGAGCTTGGAAATTTTACTTTTTTGGAGCACTACTCCCAGAATCCCTGAGCTAGCACGGTCAGTCTGAAAAAGAAAATCTTTACCATGCATCCTGTGATGTGAATTTCTGTTTCCTAGCAGTTGTTGTGCAAGTGAAAGAAGAGACTCTTGATGGCTTTGCACTGGAATTGGGAGCCTCACAGCTGCCAGTACCGATCGGCTGCTTAAAAGATGAAAACACGGAACTGGAAGCCCCAAGGAGCCCTGTGGGGATCGGCTGCCTAAAAAGCGAAGACATGGAAACGGAAGCCCCTACCAGCCCTGTATTGATTAGTTGCTTAAAAGATGAAGATGTTGACTAGAGCTTCAGGCAGAAAGGAGACACAAGAGTCTTTCACAGTAGTTCTCAAGGGCAGGATTGGACTCCCTGATCTCTTGGTGGCCAGGGAGACGTCATGTGTTGGCCCATTCTAATAATCTGGGGCCATATTTCTCCTCCCCTGGAACTTGGTGGGCTACACTTCCTTCCACATTCCCAGTTGTCCCCGAAGTGACAGCTTGTGTCTTCAGAAACTTTGGGAGTATATTTTGCCATTCAAAGGTAGTCCCCACCAGGCCTGTTTAAAGCTGGAAGAAAAGATTTTCAGTAAGTGAACACCCTAGAACAGGATTGGCAGGAAGTGGTATCCTGTTTAATTAACGAATAGCGCCCACCCTCAAGATCCTGGTGATGCAAAGTTGTATTTGGAGGTCAGTCTTTTTTCAGGATCGAGTGGGATTAGTGTTTGGTGGGGGGGGTTGCATGCAATGTCCCTTCACAAGCTGCGCTTTCCTCAGCTCCAGGTTACATGTTTCAAAGCTATCATTCTTTCATAGAAGATTCTTCCCTCTCCCCAACATTAAGAAAAAACTGATTCTGTCAATTTATTCTGTACTTTTTATAGCAAATGTTCTGCGTCAAGAAAGGCTTAGAGTTCCTTTCTCATTGGGCTCACAAGAACTGAGTATGAACCCCTTGCTTAAGAACTCTGTGGGAAGGGGAGAGGCCATTTCTGACTTGCATCAGTCAAGTCTGCGCTTTAGCCCTGTGTAGTCATTCTGAAATCCAAAACCATCTATGCAGTTACAGAGGAGACAAGCTCCATAACATTCTTTATCACTTTACTCAAATGAACAGTGACAAGCCTGAAGAGGAGACCCATCTATAGCCTCTACCCATGAGCAAGAACCTTGGGAAATCTGGCTTCTTGCTCATGCGTAGAACTTAAGCAGCAGCAGGGCCCTTCTCTTGAAACCTGTTCTGCCTATGTGAGCAAAGTGGCAAGGGACAGGGATGCTATTTGAAATTGTATTATTAAAAGCTTTTTAATTTTTTTGTGCTTGTTTGTTGAATATAAGAAGTGAAAGACTGTGAATTTTTATATTAAAATAAATTTAAAATACAGTACTCTCTCAAGGCCATGTGTCTGCAGTGGGAGTTTTCCTGTCGTGAAACGAAGCCCACTAGTCATGTTTTTTCCTTCCAATATTTTGCTGCTTAAAAACCTCCTGAGAGGAAATTCCACAACTTCCCTGGGCAAATCATTCCATTGTCTATTCATTCTTGCAATGAGAAGGCACTTCCTGATAAGAGGTTTACAGCTGCTATCTTAAACAATGTACTGTATACTGTAAAATTAAGTCCCATTTGCAAGCAAAGCAAAGCATTTTTGAGGAAGCATATTTCAGACATGACTGTAAATCTCTTGTGTCACAGCTTGCATCCATTTCTATCTGTATTTTCCCTCTTAATTGCAATTTTCTTGTTGTTGGAAAATTCCTGTCATGCAACTTTCCCATTTCCCCCAAATTCAGCAATTACACCATATTAAACTTCTCTCACTCCATATTTTACAAAGTGGGGGTTGTTTTAAAAACAGAATAATGACTAAAGCTTCTAGTTGCAGAAACAGTGCGAGATCTGGCAAGAGGCACAAGATTTGGCAGTCTTTAAGATTGAAACTTTTTAAAAAGCAAACTTTAATCTTTCTGAAGAGCGTGGACATTTGTGAAATATATCCAGTTAAATCTCAGAAGGCTGGCAAGCTCCTTGCACTGTGTCTTAATCAGCAGAATAAGTTATGCAGAATCTACATTTACATGGTTTGAACTGCTCAGAATATAGTAATATGAACTACACATGTTGTATTTTAATTTCTTAACATAACTGCTGGCCATCTTTTCCAACCTTTGGGTAAAATCAAATCAACGTTCTCCCTTTGACAATGCATGTAGTTACTAGTATGGATTTATAGTATGTAAATAATAATCTCAAAACTGCAGAGCTGGAAGAGACCCTAAACTACTGAGCTATCCAGACGTGAACCACTGACATAACTGAGAGCAAATTTCCTTCAGCATCATTGCTTTCCTTTCTTCACAGCCTTGTTCTTCTTGTTTCCTCTGAGTTGCACATTCCCTGCACGTTGCCTCTTACTGGAACTTCTTCGAGTCTTGGTCTTGCTTTCAGCTGAGCTAGTTTGCTTGGCCTTTTTAATACTCCAGCCTGGGCAATTTTGGAAGATAGTTACCAACTTCACCTTTTGGCCATGTACATCTGCTGGGGTATCACAGGTGGCTCCTACTCTCAGGTTCAGCTTGTCAAGCCATCTGGGGTAGGAGGAAAAAGCAAAAGGAGATAAATTTGAAGCCACCTGATCAACAATATCACCTGACCTCACATACATTCACAATCACTCAGCTAGCATGTATTTTCATACTTTTCTACAGGTGTATTTATTTTGGAGGTTAAAGAATGTGCAGATATGTGCAGAGGAGAAGGGGACAACAGAGGATGAGATAGTTGGACAGTGTCATCCAAGCTACTAACATGAATCTGACCAAACTCCGGGAGGCAGTGGAAGACAGGAGGGCCTGCATGCTCTGGTCCATGGGGTTACGAAGAGTCGGACACAACTAAACTACTAAACAACAACAATTAGTTAACTGGGCTTTGTATTGGTGCCTTTGATCCTAAGTAGAGATGGGCATGAATCACCACTTCAGCAGTTTGTACTAGTTCTTTTAGTGGCCAAATAAGTGTTTGGTGCTTCACAGTCCCTCCTCCAGCTGGCGCCCTGGCTTCCTTGGCCCACCTCCTCTAGGCGCTACCTCTAAGTAAGTGCCCACAAGAGGCTGGGCTGCAAAGCACCAAACACCTGTTCAGCCCCTAAACGAACCAGCATGGACCACCAAACCATCTCTAATCCTAAGTGATACACTCCAGAATATTTTACATGGTCACGGAGGGAAGGATGACAGGGCTCTAAGAAGATCACACACAGCTATTACTTGGGGCACAAGCTCTTCATGGCACGGATCTATCTTTCTGGTGCTTATACAAAATGCCAAGAACATTGATGGCTTGCTCTATATGTATCGTATCTAACCACATAACTAGAATCTGTACAATTATGTGACTAAGCTAGAACAATGCTGATAACCACTTTGCTGAGATAGCTTACTGGTAAATTTGTCAGTGCACAATGATCCAGTTAGCTTAATTTATTTTAGGTTTGTTTTGTAATCCTATTATGTCCTGCCTTTCCTTCAGGGAACTCAAGGTAGCAGAGATGGTCATCCCAACATTTTATGAGGTAGATTAAACTAAGAGTAATTTGGTCCAATGTTGCCTACTGAATTTCCTAGATAAGGACTTGCGCTTCTATCACCCAAATTCTAATCTGGTGCTGTGTTATTCCACAACTGGACCTTCCCTCCCCCCCTGCTGTATGACAAACTCTTCGACAGTTGTGTGAACTAGTGGCTCACTTGCGTAGTGGGAGGAGTTGACAGTCACAGTGGAAAGGTACATCACTCAAGTTGATTGCCTCCAGAGCTGTGAAGTTATGTAAGTCAGGAACACGGTGCATTTTGTTTTTCTCCAGGTAGAAGCTTTTTACTCTTGGGCCCAAGCCAGTGAAGGCACCAGAGGAAATCTGCAAACAGAGATGATATTGGAAGTGGGACATTCAAGGACCACAGCAGTGGATTTCAAAGTGGCATCTCTCTTCTAGCAGTTATCTAAAACTTCATCTCATGCTGACCCACTGGATGTCAGACATCATCTGATCATAAACTGTACTTATTCAGGCATTAGATGCTCAAGACCATTCAGATTTACTGTGTTGTGTAATGCAAACAAGACTTTATTTTGGGAGCAGGAAAAGAGTTGCTTTAGCAGCATTGTTCAGCTTTGGCCTGTAGAATGATGCAACAAAAATTAGTTCTAGAAACTAGTTTTGTCCATCTGTGGATAATTTATTTAATATAAAATGATTAGCACTGTACCATCGTCCAATTCCTTTGAAAATCATTAACTTTAATTCGATGGAAAGCAGTCATCATCACAGAATTCAATTTGTACATTATGGCACTATTGTGAATGCAAGATGTTTTTAGGATACATTTGAATCAGAACATGGGTCGACCTGGGAATTGAGCAACTCTATATGTTAAACTTCAAATCCCAGCATTCTTTGCATTGGCCATGCTGGCTTTGGGTGTGGCAGTCCAACCACATCTGGAGGAACACATTTTGTCCATTCCTGTTCTGATGTTCCCCAGCTCTGTTCTAGCAGCAGATACACGTTTTTAGAAACATAGTAGCAAAGTAAATAAATGTTCAGGTTCCAACGTTCCTGCCACAACTTACCTGTTCTAGGCCCATGTTATCTAGGTAGAGATGCTGTAGAGATCTTGCCACTGGAAAAAAGGCACCATCTCCAATGTACTTGATGGGATTCTTGGACAACTTCAGTTCACTAAGTATGGGGAGCCCACGGAGGGCCTTGGTGGGCACTTCCTGCAAAGAATTCTCATCTAGATGCAACTTCTCCAGCATCTTGGCATGACTCAAAGCTTTGGGCGATACCTGTGCCACACGGTTTCCAGTAAGGTAAAGCCAACGTAGCTTCTCCATACCAGCCATTGCATTTTCTGACAGCTGACGGATGGAGTTGTGTTGCAAGTGGAGGGCAAGGAGATTGGGCAAAAGCCTGAAGGCCCCTTTGGGCATTTGGGTGAACCCGTTGTGGTCCAGGTAGAGATAAGTGAGCTGGGTAAGGCCGTTGAAAACAGCAGCATCTAAGGAAGAGATGTTATTGTTAGAGAGGTAAAGATAGACAAGATGTTTCAGATCCTGGAAGGCACCAGGTTGCAGGGTAGCAATTTTGCAGTTCTGCAGGTGAAGGGACGTCAAGTTTTTCAAGTCAGGAAAGGAGCCTTTTGGTATGGAGTGGAACTCATTATGGCGCAAGTCCAGCAGTTGGGTGTTGCTAGGGAATCCTTTGGGAATACTCTGGAGTTTTTTGTGGCCACAATTTGCATGCTGGGAATCAAGTGAGCAAGTACATCCTTTGGGACACTTCACAGCATCCACCTCTGAGCCCCTGGGGATGGTGGCCACGCTGGGCAGCAGCTTCTCTTCCAAAGCATGATCTCTACACTTCATGTCTGTTGTCCTCAGAGACTCCAGATGTTCTCCCCTAAATAGAACAGGGCCAGCACACACAACGTCCGCATGTATTCTTTTTTTTGCAGCCCACTCTTTGAAGGGGCGCATGTAGCAAGTGCAAAGCACTGGGTTCCCTGTTAAGTTGATCTTTCTGAGATGGACCATTTCTGTCAGAGGCTGCAGCACAAGCAGCTGGTTGTTGTGCAGGTCAAGGGTATGCAGGAGGGGGCTCTTGACAAAAGCTCTGTGTGAAACATCTTGAAGGGCCATATTGTCCAGGAACAGCTGTTTCAGGGATGCCATCTCAATGGCCTCCTCACCAATATAGCTGATGGGATTGTGTCCTACATCCAGGCGGCTTGTTCCTGACAGCCTGGACAGTGCCTCCGTGGGAAGGTACTGCAGTTCATTGTGATCTAGGCTCAGCCTTCGAAGGCTTGGAAGTCCACCAAATGCTTCGTCGGCAAGCACATTGAGTGAATTATGGGACAAACTGATCCACTTGGTCAACTGCAACCCCTGGAAGACCATATCTGGTAAATAAACCAGAGAGTTCCTGGCCAGGTTAAGAAAGCTAAGGAAGCCAAGCTGTCCAAAAGCCCCTGGCATTATCTCCTCAATGTGATTATTTTCTAGCAGAAGTTGCTGGAGAGATGACAGGCCATCAAAGGACTCTTGATAGATTATTACTATATTGTTGGAAGCCAAATTGAGATAGACCAGCCGTCCTAATCCTCTGAAAGCCCCTTCCTCAATTCTTTCCACCTTGCATCTCTGAAGGTTCAAGTGGGTGAGATACGGAATAGGGAGGAATGTTCCTGCAGCAATTGTCTTGATTACATTACCCCGGAGGTCCAATCTTTGGGTCAGCTGTAAATTACACAGGAAGAACAACAGGTACATTCCCAGTTAATTATCATGGTCACTGTAGACAAGAACAATAGTGCCTTTGGCTGAAATGCCCCATTCTAATTTCACATTGTGTCAGAAGCGAATCGGCTGGTCTCTGTTAAAATGATTACATACTGTATTTGGAATAAAGGAATAGATTAATCCACACGTGTATCTTTTTGAACTGTAGCAGAACAGACAATTTATTGGAGAATTGCAAATAGGGGAAAATTTGGAGTCTTCACTCAATGAAGAAAGTAAATCACATGCAGATATATTAACATGATATCAAATGGGAAAGTAGACAATATTAATTTATTGGAGAATTGCAAATAGGGGAAATTTAGAGTCTTCACTCAATCAAGAAAGTAAATCACGTGCAGATATATTAACTTGATATCAAATGGGAAAGTAGACAATATAATACTTAAAATGTTGCTATATCATGGATCCCCTTCACGGGTTGCTGCCTTGCTGTGGCAAAGGGGCTGGAGTAATTCAGAGAAGCTATGGGCTATGCCATGCAGGGACACCCGAGATGGACAGGTCATAGTGGAGAGTTCTGACGAAATGCGATCCACTTGGAGAAGGAACTGGCAAGCCACTCCAGTATCTTTGCCAAGAAAACTCCATGGACAGAAACAAAAAGCTAAAATATATGGTGCTGGAAGATGAGCCCCTCAGGTCAGAAGGTATCCAACATGCTACTGAGGAAGAGTGTAGGACAAGTACAAGTACTCCAGAGCTAATGAAGTGGTTGGGCCAAAGCCGAAAGGATGCTCAGCTGTGGACGTGCCTGGAAGTGAAAGGAAAGTCTGATGCTGCAAAGAACAATACTGCATAGGAGCTTGGAATGTAAGATCTATGAACCTTGGGAAGCTGGATGCAATCAAACAGGAGATAGCAAGAAAAAACATTGACATCCCTGGGTGTGAATGAACTAAAATGGATGGGAATGAGCAAATTCAATTCAGACGATTACCATATCTACTACTGTGGGCAAGAATCTCATATAAGAAATGGAGTAGCCCTCATAGTCAAGAAAAGAGTGGGAAAAGCTGTAATGGGATACCATCTCAAAAATGATAAAATGATTTTAATACGAATCCAAGGCAGACGTTACATCACAGTAATCCAAGTTTATGCACCAACCACCGATGCTGAAGAGGCTGAAATTGACCAATTCTATGAAGACTTACAAAA